CAAATCACGGGCCCGACACTCAGATCTAAGCCTTAGCAGCAAAGTTACCTTGGAATAAATAACTTATGCAAGGAAAATATCCAACACGTTTCAGTTAGCCGCGAACGAAGACTCAAAGATCCTACCTACCGGCCTCCGAACCCGTTCAAACACGTCTGCACGACGACTGCGGCGCGGCATGGTGACTGGGATACTTCATCTGATCCAGCACAGTCTTGCGATAATACCCGTTTCGGAACCTCTCCACGGACACCTGGCGGAACCTTCGCGAACCTGCAACATTCCATGATACTTCCTCGAGAGAGAGCACCTCTCGTCTGCCTCCGATGCAGCAACAAATGCATTTATAACCCCTCGGGACACATAAAGCCAATAAACTGCCATTGAAGCAAAAACCATCCGCCCCTCAAAAAAAGAACCACCGTGTGAAACCACTTGCGACTCGTTAACGAAGCCTCATGCACATGCGACTCCAGAGAAGCAATTACCGCCTTTCAAGAACCTTCTGCCGAAGCTGAAGGAAGGCTGGGAATATATTCTTGGATTGGAAGGCCCGCAGAGGATCGCATTTATTCTGCGCATTATGTCGTTTCGAAGCTGGTTGTCTATTGTATTATGGTGACCTGATGTGTTTGCCAATTGGTGTGAGCTTGTTAAAAACATGGCCCAGGCAAGGGGAAGAAGGAGCTTAATATGGCGTTCGTTCCATAGACTTTATTAAAGGCTTATTAATAAAGAATGGGACGTGCTGTTGGACAACACTGCCGCAAAGTTTCTCATGATGGTAATTAAAAGAAATTCCCCTCTTTAATATCTAGCAGACTGAGCCTTGACTCCTAGTCTCACGTGATATCCGTATACCCGTGCATGAAGCCAAGAGAGCGCTGAAATGGTGAGACTCCTAGCCACGCGCGACCTGCGCGCCTACGCGTATATATGCCCAAGCGTTAGGAAAGACAGATCTGATCTCGTATAATTTGCATCATAGTTCCTAGCTACTGTTGCAATGCTGCTTCCATCAGTGCGCCCACCCTCTCGTCTCTTGCAGCAAGCTGCTACAGCCGAGGCGCTTGAGCCACGTCGGCATTCTTTGGGCTGCCCTTCGATACAATGGTCACGGTCTCCAGACGCTAAACGGCTCCGGGGCCAAATGTTACATCCACAGACTGCTCGTTCTTCGAAGCAGCATCCTCTCCCAGCCATGCGAGAGACTCGTTAGGCAACATGACGGCCTTGTCAATAGCGACCGGCAAACCGCGGTGACGCCCGTGCAAAACGACCACTGCTAAGATGAGTTTGCTGGGCGAATGCCACACGCCACAAAACGACCGGTTTCCGNTGTCCCGCTGGTCGGAAGTCCAGCTGGTAGGGCAGGCCTCGATGGCGTCCGCGTATCATCATCGCGCAGACCACAAGTTTACTAAAGGCTGTGAAATGCCTAGATAGTGACTGCTAACGGTTGGGTATTTAAGAGTCAAACCGACGTTGCCGCTGCAAATTCTTAGACACAGGCAAAAAATAGTTGCTGGTACAAGTTGTCGGGAAAAGAATGCACATACTAGGTCGATGGTCGCTCGAAAAATATAGGAAACACAGCAAACGCCTATCCTTAGTCAGCTGAAGGCTCGAATGGGAATTATGTGAAGTAACCAAGAAGATGTACTAAAGGTCGAAAGTGAACTGGTTACAGATGTGAGTCAAAATATATGTTCTACTGTCCTTCTCGTTCGTCTCTTCATCAGATGGATATATTCCCAAGGCCTTTTTTTCGTAGACATTCGAGGCGCGGATACCGGATGATCCCATCGATGTCATCCTTTCCTGCCAATGAAAAAGGATCGAACGGATGCCCTCTTATCTGCTACATTTCACTATTAGCTGTTGTAGATGAACGTTCTCCACCAGTGCCAGAAAATTTGTAAAGATCTTTACGACAGGCCGAAAATAACGGTAAACTTTCGCAAGCAACCCAAGAGAGGGGTTCTCCGTCGTACTCCTCAAATAACTGCTGCCTAGGGACACCATTTCGGAGAGTTGCGAAGGGAAAAAGATCCGATGTGTCTATTTTTGTCAAGACCAGCATGTCTCCGGTGGGTGGGGCACCGCCAACTGTACCATGTGACGCAGGGAAACGTCAGTATTCTCAACAATCACTGCAGCGTTTGCGCAAGCATTCACTCAAGAGGATGTCAACCAGAAGAGCAGTCAGCCCCTTGAAAGGCATGGTCCCCTCAACCCCAGAAGAGACCGACTTACCCACAGGCGATTTTTGCTGCCCAGCGAGGCGGGCGAAACCAATGTACCACAATATCAGTTACGTTGAGAAAGATGGTGGGCAGTTCTATCTACTCAAGAACTCTAGAGCCTTCAAAGAGGTCATATATTTACCTTTCGTAAAAGGCGTGCCTGGTTTGGAAGAGCTGTGGAGGGTGAGGATCGGTCAAGAAATCACCATTTAAGCAGGATGCGTGTGCGTTCGAGTTGGTTCTCAGAATACGAGCACAAAGATTACCAACATGATTGAGACGCCTTGGAAGCATAGCTGCCGAATTTTGGAGCGATTCGTACTCAAAGGCGCTGCACGCAATCGCCTTGAAAATAACCAATAACACCGTAGGTTGACAGCACGAGGGCTCGGCAACTGATACATTATATAGGGCCTCATTTCAGCACATCCGCCGGCTGTCTCAGTTGATTCGAAGTAATATAGGAAGAGTGCAAGATGGTCGAGGAACTCGACACAAACAAGATCAAAGACTGGCGTTCAATCACTACGCTTGTTGTTTTTGTCCTCGCCAGTAAGTACCTATGATCTGTATCCTGCTCGGTACCTGACAAGCTGCTCTTGATTAGATGTTGTCGTCATCTTTCCCTTCCATATACCCCTCTATCTTCCTCGATGCCTTCTCAATACTGCTTTAGACGCTCTCAGTACCTGGAGAGTGATCAATGAGCGTCAACGTGATCAGGATGCTGGCCGTTTCGTTCGCATATACTTTCCCTTCAATTTTGTGACAGCACCTTTGATTGCCGACCTATTGCTCCTGGCGGTTTCGGCGATTGGGCGCAAGGAGGTGTACGAGGGGACTATCAAAGCCGACAACATATCTCCTATCGATATTATGGTCTTCTTTCTCAGTCTTGCATACATCGCTATCTCCATCGATGCCTCTGGCTTTATTCGCTATTTGGCATTTAAAGTACTACAAAAAGGTGGTAAAGTTGGGCATAGACTTTATTTCTATCTCTATGCATTCTTCTTTGTTCTTGGAAGCTTCATCGGAAATGATCCGATTGTTTTGTCCGGCACTACCTTTCTTGCTTACATGATCCGTGTGTCAAGCAATATTTTGCATCCTCAAGCGTGGATATAAGCCCAGTTTGCGGTCGCCAACATCGCTTCCGCAATCCTGGTCACCTCCAATCCCACGAAACTCGTGCTCACGAGCGCCTTTGAAATCAGATTTATCGATTACACGGCGAACATGATTGTCCCAGTTGTAATTACTGCCATCGTTCTGTTCCCCTTTTTGCTATACATTATCTTCGCAGACGAATCGTTGGTCCCACTATCAATCGAAATGCACGAGCTGCCGGAGGAAGCAAAGAACAAAAGCCCAGTGAACCCTAACATCCCTAAAAAAGGAGGCATCGATAAAGTGCAGGGGAACGAGGCAGCAAGCAGCGAGGACGGCAAGCTGTTATCGCTCGAGGAAATCCTGAACCCTTTTCTCGATAAACGTGGAGCAGCTTTTGGTATAGTCATCATGGCTGCGACGCTCATCACTGTTTTGACGCTTGATGCAGCAAACCAGGGTCACGCGCAACCTGTTTTCTGGGTGACCTTGCCAGCTGCATTTGTCCTATTCTGCTGGGATATAGCAAATGGATGGCTTCAACGCCATGAGACACACGAGATTGCACGCAGGCGCCAAGAAGAGGTGGAGCGCATGCGCGCTGACCGGGTTGTGGGGGGTAGCGAATTAGCGGAAGACAGACGGAAGCCCCAGTTGACCGGGGCGCATGTTACTCCATCATCTGGCATTCTCGACCGAAGAAACCGTGGGACCCCAAGCGCGCCATCTACCATCTCGATGAATAACCAGCTACCTCACCAACAGTCGCTCCCGAGTAACGTGAGCACTCTCGACGAGGANAGTCGTAACCAATGCCAATCTATCAATTTTTCTCTGTTAGTAACTGTTGCTCAAGAAATGGCGAAGCTTCCGACCAAGTGAAGGAAGAATAGCTGGTACCTATGGCTATTGAAGGCAACATAACGTAGAAATGTATTTTTGAGGAAGGGACAAACGAAGACCGTATGTTTATATCCAGGAGTTGTCTCTTCGAAACGGTAGGGATACAGCTAAGAACGCTGATCTCCCTGAGAGGTTCAAAACCTAGTATATATCATTAAAAATAGCTTCCAGACTATCAGGTCGGCCCAGTGAGGAGAACTGAGCATTTTTTTCTCCCTTGACCGGTCTTCATGCAAGGAATGGCGGGAATGTAGAGACGAAACGAATAGCCGGGGACTGGGATTACAGGATGTAAGGGTTGTGGCACAGAAGGCTTCAATCTCGCGGTACGAATTCCTGCACTGCCAGCTTCAAATCTTTCTCGGTCAAATCTAAGACGGAGATGAGTTTAATATAACTAAGCTGTCAAGTATGATGTGCTCAAGCAGATCGAGCGATGTTTAAGTAGTGGAAGAAAAACCTTGGTAGAGCAAACATTTACCGTCTTCCGCTAGTCTGTATGTAACCACTTAATCTTACCCAAATGCAGTGACTTTAAGCCTGTCTGGTCATCTATCCCTTCATACTCGCTGTCCCGCTGGTCGGAAGTCCAGCTGGTAGGGCAGGCCTCGATGGCGTCCGCGTATCATCATCGCGCAGACCACAAGTTTACTAAAGGCTGTGAAATGCCTAGATAGTGACTGCTAACGGTTGGGTATTTAAGAGTCAAACCGACGTTGCCGCTGCAAATTCTTAGACACAGGCAAAAAATAGTTGCTGGTACAAGTTGTCGGGAAAAGAATGCACATACTAGGTCGATGGTCGCTCGAAAAATATAGGAAACACAGCAAACGCCTATCCTTAGTCAGCTGAAGGCTCGAATGGGAATTATGTGAAGTAACCAAGAAGATGTACTAAAGGTC